CTGCTCTCTTCGGGATTAGAATCAAGTTAACTGTGAGAGGTTTGTGTGAAACTCATGTGTTTCAGGCTCCTTAAAAAGTTCCCTTTTTCGTACTGACACACTGTTAATACTTGTAGGATCGTCTAGGAGTAGATCCTGGGTGTAAACATTTACTGGATGAATCAAAGACCTAGAACACGTTCTAAACAGAGAGACAGAGACAGAGAGAGGATAGAGGAAGAACGTGTCGAACCTGACACCGCAGGGGGTGATCCAGATGCCGCCATCACGTTCGTCGGTGAAGTCTGCGCACGGGCAGCGACGTTCGGGGAAGAGGTCGATGAAGTCGTCGATGTCGGTGGAGCGAGGCGGCGCGGCTGGTGGCTTCCCGTCACTGGCTACGTCCCTCTCTGATCGGATTAGGGTTTAGGTTTCGGTGGGGAGCTCGGCTCAGGCAAACCTCGTACCCAGAGCCGTCGGCCCCACCTCTATTTATTGCGCAGTGTGACAGGGGCCCTCCAGCCATAGTGGGCTGGACGCCCCCGATTAGGGCGCGAATCAAAAGGCCAACTGGGCCGTTGGGTCCAGTTTAGAATTAGAGATCAATCTAACGGCCATTGGTTCCTTGGCCGTACGTTGACAGGCGATGTAACCAGTTGCATGATCTACCTGCGCTTGAGGGTTTCTCTGTCCTCATGTTGATCTCTTGATCTTTTTGGAGAAAAAGATGCGTTTGCTCCTGCAAGAAAAAGACGAACCCGTTCAACTCAATCATTGGATCTCTGCTGAGCTTGAGCAGGACGACAAGATTTTGCTGCTGCGCCTGCCAAGCACTGGTCGACAGCAAATCTACCCTGCCTTGGCGCCAACGGGCCCGGAATCTACGGCTTGCCGTGCATGGGCTCCAATGCCAGAGCTGTGGACGGTAACACACAACACAAGGAGCTTGCGATCGAGCTGCGTTGCGAGGGCAGAGAAAGAGACGTGCAGTGCAGTGTGATGAACGCGGGCCTGTTTGGTTCCTTAGACCGAACTTTACTCCCTGCCGCATAGGATGTTTGTTACATGTATGGAGTATTAAATATAGACTAAAAAATAATTAATTATATAGATTGCGATTAATTTGCGAGATGATTTTTTAAGCCTAATTAGTCTATGATTTGACAATATGGTGCTACCGTAAATATGTGCTAATGACTGATTAATTATGTTTAATAAATTCATCTCGTAAATTAGTCTCCATCTGTGTAATTAGTTTTATAATTAACTCATATTTAGTCTTTCTAATTAACATCCGAACGTCCGATATGACATGGACTAAATTTTAGTCCATGGAACCATAGGGACCTGCCCTTTGGAAGCGCCCACACACAAACCAACACTGACATCAGAGGGGGGTCAGGGGAGGAGAGGGAGAGCCTTCTTTAAGATGACACCACAACCTCCCCTCCCCCTCCTCCCCGTTGCCCTCTCTCTCTCTCCCTCTCCCTCTCCCTCCATTGTGTCACTCACTCTATACTAGGTCCTAGGTAACTAGCAATTGAGCTCTTAAATTCTTGCTTGAGGTGCAGTAGCAAGACAAACTACTACAAACAAGCTGATCAGCTGATGCCCGGTGGCTTCAGGATCTTGCCAAGGTTTGCGAGGTCCCATTTTGCTTCTCCCCTGGCCTTGCAGTTGCGTTTGAGTGCACCTCTGAGGCTTTGATTGGCCCTCGCGCTCCGTACTTAAGCTCTCCGCCTCGTCCATGGCGTTGCAGCTCTCAAGACTTGCTGTCTCCTGCTAGCTGCTGCTTCTACTCCACCTAGCTGAAAGGTAGAACCGAGATCAGTCTGGGAATTCGTTAAAGATCACTTCTTCCTCTGCAATCCGATCACTTCGGTTCTTGGAACGAACATCGCGAATTGACGCTTGTTTTGTGCCACCTCCTGTCTGTCCGTGCAGAGTGTAGTTGGTCCTGAATTCTTGGTCCGGTGCTGTTGGACATGTTCTTGAGGTCGAAGATCCAGGAGGTGATCCTGCGGAGGAGATCGAGGTCAATGAACAGCGCCGGCGCGCAGAGGAGCCACGTCCCCGATCAGGCCGCGAGCTCGTCAACCGTTCCATGCGACGGCGACAGTGGCGGGGCCGGGGCAGACGCCGCCGGCAGCAAGAGTGCCGCTGCACGTGCCCTGTTCGCCTCCCCGAGGCTTCTTCACTCTTCCTCCCTGCCCGCCGGCACCCTCGCCTTCGCCAAGAGCCCCACGCAGGACGCCGAGTCCGAGACGGCCTTCTCCATGAGCCCGACTTCCGTGCTCGACGCGGCGGCGGCGTTCGCGCCAGGCACGGACGGCGTCGGCGCCAGCAAGCGCCGCAGGCCGTGGAGGGCGCGGGACAACAACGGCCTCGCGGACGCGCTGGACTGCAGCGACCAGCAGCAGGAGAGGATCGTCCTCGCGGCGACGTCGTCGTCGTCCTCGCTGGTCAGGTCGTGCTCCCTGGACCGCCGCGTCGAGTTCGGCGTCAAGAACAAGAGCTCGTGGCTGCCCCTCCGCGCCTGCAGCGGCCGCGAGGCCACGTCGCCGGCGCCGGCCGATCCGCGGGAGATAATAGAGCCGTCGTCGGAGGACTACACGTGCGTCATCTCCCGCGGGCCCAACCCGAGGACGGTGCACATCTTCGGCGACCGCGTCGTGGAGGGCGGCGCCGGCGCCGCGGCGGAGAGGGAGGAGAGCTCGCCGCGGCCGATCAATCTGCCGGTGCGCGACGACCGGGGCTTCTTCAGCCTCTGAATGATCCATCCATTCGCGCGTAGCCTGATGATGCCTAGTAGGTAAAGAAACTGAGTTTGCTGAGTGCTATTATTGTTGCTGTATTGTATTGGTTGCTCCATTTCCATCTGATCAGACGATCATAGATGTTTTCTTGATCAGATGATGTACTAGACGTTTTGTCCAGGATGAGCTGAAGCTGTGATATAAATTTCATTATTATGTTGTTATTACTAGAAAAAAAACTGCAAATTTAGCTCCCAGTGGCTGAACTACTCTGATAAATTTTGTCTCCAAACTCGTTTCTGCAACCAGCACAATCAGAATGTCAGATCAACCCTGACTAACATACTCATAATTTCAGAGCACTACGAGTTCTGACAGTAGCTCAGAACATCTCATCTCCCGAATCCTGACAAAAACTCAGGTCATTTCCCAACGAATCCAGCATTAAACCATACCGATCCTTCATATGAGACATGAGAGCATGCTATTGCTGCATGCCGTGGGTGAGGCGAGTCCCCAATCATTGGTGGGTTTCTTGCAGCATGAACCCATGGAAAAGAGCTCAATGATTGATGTCTCTTGTGGCGAGCCCTGCTTGCCGTGCTGCCCTGCTCACCCAGACCAGACGATCGGGCGGGCGGGGCTGTGGGGCGGATGCGCCCAGCGCCCATCAAGCGGTGCCTCGTCGCCGTCAGGGGCCCCGCCCCGGCGAGCGGTTGCGGCTGACCCCGTGGACATGGGTCTCTCTGCCACGTGGGGCCTGATTCCTTCTCCGCTCGGCCATTCGTGGTCTCATCTGATCTCATCCCCGAGAGTGTTTCGGTTTCTCTGTCAAGCTTCCTTTCCGTGACGCCGACTGGTTTGAAACTGACGCCCATTTTCTTCCTCATTCAGCCTTTTCGCTCGTTCCAGAGCTTATCAGCCATTCAACAGTATTTTTTCTCACAACAAACCAGCACTAGCCGGGCTTATCAGCCCAGAAACCAACCGGCGAACAGGCCATTGCCTGAGCATCACGCTGTCAGCTCCACAGCTGATGATGGCCTGGTGTGACGGGCATTGCCTGAGCATTGAAATCTCTCTCTTTCTTTGCAGGCCATCATATTCATGATGATGAGTTTGAGCACCACTGCACCAGGCCATTTTTTTGGATGAGTTTTAGCTTGTCGTGCTGCATAATTCTTGTAAAATAAAAAGGGTGGTTTGGCTAGCTTAGTAGTGCCTTTTCAAGTGTTGGTGACACGGCGGTGCAATTGTTTTTTTTTTTTCCTTTTGGTCTTTCTAAGGATATAATCAAGTTGTGGCAACAACAGCCATCACTGATTCACAAATACGTCATTATCATGCAGCTCTTCTTTACTTGCTCTTCTGAACCTTTTTTGTCCTGTTGTAAAATTGGAGGAACATAGCTCATGTTCTCCGAAATTAATTTTGTGCACCTAGAACGAGTACCGACATATCTGGCTGTGCACATCCCGTGCATGAACTCAACAGCAAATGATGTACACATCTTGACCGTCTTCATGGCCTCCTGCCCTCCTATCTCCACAACACATCCTCTGTTAAAGGCAGTTGACACGAAGAAGTACAGTACAGGTGGCTTAATTGATCTCTCTCCTGAAACAAGTGCAGTTGCAAGACTACAGACTAAGCTTCTTTGGATAAAGCTTCAAGTAAACTAAACCTGACTTTCAACTCCCCTCCTCACACAAACGGACCAAAAGAAAAACGATGAAGAAGAGCAAGTGCATAATTTTCTGCACATATGCCATTAGCACCCTGACGTAACTATACAAAAATAGGAACTACTATCAGGTTTCACTATATAGAATGCCACACAAGTAAGCCCAGAATATCTCAACTGAATAAATTAATTGGAGTAAAATTAACAAACGCATTCAAATTAGAAGTGCTATGGAGAAACTATTCCTATGTCAATGTCATTTTCCTTAATGCTGGACGATGTTTGCTGAGCTGACTGGTGTTTCAAAAGTTCACCCTTAAAATAGCACCAAACTGAACCATCAATATCAAGAAATTTCAGCCATCAAAACATCGCAAACCATTACACAGATGGCGAACTGAAGTAGTCATCACTATGATGAACATTCACTTTGATATTTACAACGTCCAGAACCCGTTAATCCATTCACATTAAAACTAGTGTCATCAAGAATAAAGAGAGCACATCTTAGCATACTGATGAAGTGAAACCCTCCAGTGTCCAGATCTTGGATTGGATGCCTTTATGAATTTGTAAATCTCTCAAGACCAGAGATAAATATGATTCCTGTCCGAGGTAGCAAGAGGTCCTAGTCCGCACCATGCACTTGCGAGAACAGGTGAAGAATGACCCTCTAGGATGGTCGGTGTTCCATTCTTCAGTCTCGACCATATGTAAACAGATCCATCAGAAGAACCAGCACCAACGAAATTTTCATCAGGGCTAATACAAGGTTTGCCCCAGCTGCCCACCACTCTGTTACCCATGGCCCTGAATGTTCCACAAATCTCCAGTGTTCTAACATCAAAAAGGTTGTGCACATTATCTCTCCCACTTGTAAGAATAAAATTTTTGCTCCGTGACACACAGACCGAGGTGACATCAAGATGAGCAGCTATCTGTGTAGTGCATTTCCCCCTACGGATATCCCATAGCCGAAGATTTCCATCCCTATGGCCCGAACAAATGATGTCACCATCAATGAAAGCTAGTGAGTTGGGGTTGCTTGCAGACATTATGGTGCTTTTGCAGAAACCTGTCTGTAGATCCCAAGTCTTGATAGTACGATCATTGGATGAACTAGCAATAACAAAGCTCTTCACCCAGCTTGCATCAACAGATGAAACATTTTTTGTGTGACCAGTCAGAGTGTGGCGAGGACGTCCCCCATTGACTTCCCACACAAACAGCTTATTGGAGCTACAGGCAGCGATCACAAACTTGTTATCATTGGTCACGGCAAGATCATTAACAGACCCCAAGCAACCATGTAAGGTGGAGGTCAAGGCACCAGTAGATGCACTCCATATCTTAACAGTTTGATCCTGACCCCCACTAATTAGCTTGTCTGAGTTATGCTCAAACATCAAAGATCCACACCCACCATCATGAGCACGAATAGTTATTGTGCATGTTGATGGGATTGGTGTTTCCATGTAACCAGCTTCAGAACACCGTATGATGCCATCAGCTTCTTGCTGTGCATTAAGTTGTATACCACCAACTCCAGCTGTCTTTAACTTTAGAACCATCTCCTCATACATCGCATTGGCCTAGACAATTATTTTACAACAATTAAAGCAGTAACTTATACATGCAAGTGTTATGGGTACAGTTTTTAGCTAAATATGGGGCAGATATTTCAAGACTGGTCTAAGAAGGTCACTTACAAGGATACACTTCGGCAGTTGATGCAAATTATAGAACTAAACTAACGAAATTCTACCAAGAGAAATATTGTACTGTTGCTTGCACCATTATGGTATGATAAGCATCCTTGTTTTGATGTATCTCCAATTCTCCATTGGTTACTACAGGTTCATTGCAACTATGATAAAGGAATATACATTGCTAATAGCCTAATAGGTAAAGTTAATTTGTCTATCATGCTCAGTAGGCAAGCCACAAGCATAATGCTTGGACAATCCCTGATTTCAGATATCGCATATTGCAAACGTGCATTTTAAGCAACAAAAGGAAAATAAGGTACCTCGTTGAGCTTCTCTCGTCCTTCATCTTCTCTAGCATCCATCGATCAATCAGACTTTGGTTCTCATCCTCTGCAGCTTTTAGTTTCGTCAATGCTTGTTCACGTTCGGGCTTTCACTGTCTGATGTTCTTGAATGAGAAGATCTAAGGCTTTTGTTTTTTCGTCAAGTGACTGCTTTAGTTGTACATTCTCTTCGCTGTAAAAGTTTTGCACAAGTGCTAAGTACCATGTTCTCCACAACTGTGACCAAGCTTAGCAAAAATAAATCACATTTAATACCTCGTCTTCTCGAGTTCAGTCTGCAAACTTGTAACCATCGCTTCCTTCTCTTTGAGCAGTGCTTTGGACGCTTTACCTTCTTCTATCTCGGTTACAAGCTGTTCAGAGAGCCGGGATTGTGCCTTGTAGCAGTGCTGCAGCTCCAACTCATGCTTCTCAGCCTTCTCTTTCCACTCCAAAGCCTACAAGGAGTTAACAAAACAACCTCTCCTTCACTAAACACCCAAGTTATCGTCCAAAATTCTAAAAAAAAAAAACAAAAAAAAAAAAACTGGGATGTTCCGGCGATACAAACAGTTGAATCCAGTAGGCTCACATTCGTTTGCAGACTTCAAAGTACGATAAAAAAGGGAAGGAGTAAACTGCAAGATTGGGAAAAGTAGGGAGAGGAAAATAGGAGATTGGCCTCACGTGGGCGGCGAAGGGACGGGTTAGCGCCTCGATGGCCGGGCTGTGCGCCCCTTCCTCGGCGAGGTGCCTTCGTTTCAGCGACCGCAGGGCGCGCCGGATCGCCGCCCTACCAGCCTCGGCCTCGGCCATCGTCCTGCACACACCCGGCAACAACAGCAAAGAAGAAATAAACTGGGCTAGCTGCCGAGTCGAAGGATTCCTCACATTCTCCCGTGGATTTCGGCAGCAGCAGGCGAGAAGGAGGCTGCGCGTCCGGTGGCTTCAGTTCTCGGTCAGGGCGGCACGGTTCCGCTCTTCGTTGAAGACTAGCCGAAACTAGAAGAAAGAGGAAGACGAAGAAGCGGAGGCGGCATCCGGACCCGCAAGTGGACTCGGACTCGTGCTGGATAGCGTGGGCCCATACATGGGCCTTCGTCCCAAGCCCAATAAGTGAACTGGGCCGATGGGCAAAAGGAATATCCGGGTCTTGGGGGGCCACGCATGGTTTTCTTCTCCTCTTCCTCCGCTGCCTCGCTTCCCGGCGAAAGCATCGGCCGCCGCCTCCTCCTCACCCACCCAACGGGCGCATTGGTTGGCTGTTTCCCTCTCCCCGGACCCCTGCCGTCCTGCGCGATCAAGGTTGCCCGGGCACCTCGCTGTCGTCGAGTCTGAACCGTGCTGCGCCGCGGAGGGAAGTGAGTGAGATAGAAAGAGGGAAAGGAAAATCAGATATAATGGCGGTTGCCGTCCTGCTGCGCCAGAGGACGCTCTCGTCGCCCCACGCGGTCTCCTCGTGCCGAAATGGTACGTACTACCTTGGGAGGTTGTATCCTTGGGCGTTGCGTATGGTGGTTGGTCGGTTTGTTTGTTCTTTTGGTTGGGGTCCGGTGCCATGTGTTTGGTGGAATGCCAAAACCAAACGCGCCCTCTGCAGACATTACCGACCAGTGGTGGTATCAGTGGTAGTCTCTATTTGCAGGTTATTAGTAGCATCACTGTGTTATGTTTCATGTTTGATTGGATAAATGAGCAGTTGGAAAAGGCGATAATTTTCTTGTTCGGTTGTGATTGTAGTATTCTTTTCTTTTCTGATGAATAGAGCATAGCTTTGAAGAAATTTATCATACAAGGAACAAGAAATTGTGGTCTCAGTTTTGGTGTATATGGCATGTATGGAAAGGACAGCACAGTGCTGTATCGTGGTTATGCTATTATTTCATACTTCTTTGCCTTGTACTTTAAAATTTGCTTTAGTACTTCACTTTGTTCCAGTGTCAAAGCCACTGGTGGTTCTATCCATTATACATTGTTCTTACATATCTAAGAATTGCTTTTCTGTCTAATAAGCTCCATACTCTGTACAGTTGTATATACTTGTGGCCTTTTTTCCAATTCTGATCTACACTCAATGGTGAACTCTACTAATTTGAGATTTTGGAGGACCTACCATAACTCTGGGAAGTTTGATTTGACTGATCTGACGTAAGAATCAATACGTATCCTATTGACTTGTGTAAAATTCAAATTTTTTCCTTGCATATTCAAGTTTGGGTGTATAAATTTCATGCATTTTGTACCATAATACCTTCAACACAATCCATTCCTTGACTCCTAAAGTAACCTTCCAGTCCGGGATGCTGTTACTGTTACCCAGCATTATTCACCATAACAAAAAAAAAATCCAATATATAGTAAGTTATTATAGTGTCTTGAATTATGAGTACAGTTCAAAATAACTGGGAGGCACTTATATTGTAGTTTGTGTAGTTCTCCCTAGCAATAATGCTTTTCTTTTATTGGAATGGTCCAATGGTTATACTGAAAGGGTAATGTGAACCTAAGGGTTATTTGCATGCTAGCATGTAGCAGCCCATCTTCTCATTTATTTTCCCATGTAAACTTCAATTAATCTATGTGCTACCTCGGACAACAGGCATCCTCATATCTGGTACCCTAAAGCCCGAGAAAAAAGAAGCGTAATGTGTTTTTACATGTTGGCCCTACAAACAGTGGGAAAACTTATAGTGCTCTCAAGAGACTAGAAGCCAGCTCTTCAGGTACTATTTTGATCAACATGTACTCAAGAACGTACTGTTACCATGGTTGCTGAGTTCTCTTCAATTTTTGTAGGTGTGTACTGTGGACCTCTGAGATTGTTAGCAAGAGAGATAGCCCAAAGGTTAAACAAAGTTAACATCCCTTGTAACTTGATTACTGGACAAGAAAGGGACGAAATTGAAGGTGCAAAACATAGTTCAGTGACAGTTGAGATGGCTGATGTGACAACTGACTATCAATGTGCTGTTATTGATGAAATTCAGGTACTTAAAGTAACACTCATTTGTAGACTGCTAGGATGGGATATCAGAGATGTCTATAAATAACTACAAATAGTAAGCTAGAGGCTTGTGTATTTGATTTTATTTTTTAATAAATGATCAAAACAATTGTGTATCTCACTGTCAATAAAGAGTTATTTGGAACATCCCCCATCATTCTAATTTTGTCTTATTCCATGGAATAGATGGTTGGCTGTAAATCAAGGGGTTATTCGTTCACACGTGCACTTCTGGGGCTTTGTTCAGATGAACTTCATGTGTGTGGTGACCCAGCTGCTGTTCCCCTTATCCAGCGAATTCTTGAAGCTACTGGTGATGTAGTTACGGTAATCTAGATGAACTAACCAAATGGACAATAGTGCTACAGTGGACTTATATATTATTTATTCTTTTGTCCATATATCGTAGTTGTGAATTTGAAGTGTGTTAAGGTTGCCAACCATGTTACTCTGCCAGTATACTGCCATTATGAAGTTAGATTTCTTGACATGGACAGACAGTTTTTTTGTACAAGAAAGAGAGATGATGTAGTTACCTATTATGTGATGAAACATCAACAATATCTGTATCTTGCAAGACTTAGCTGACTTTAAGCTTAAGTATTTCAAATTCTCTCCACGCTGGCTTAAGATATGCAACACTTTTCTGACACTGTCACGTACTCAAATATGGCTTCGTTCACATTTATATATGTTGAATATCATATTTCGTGGATAACACCATCTGTCATACTACTCAATTAGGCCCTTGCCCTACTTGTGGCATGTTTGGATCTCATTCTCATAGTGATTCTAGATAGTGATATGGAATCTGGATTCTAGATTAAACAAATGAGGGGTGTTTGAATCTCATTCTCATAATGATTATTGCCTTCGTATAGTGAAAATCTTTAAATAGTAGGTTTTTTTTTTTTCTCGAATACGCAGGAGAGCTGCGTATCATTGTATTAAGAGAGGAAAAAATGGTCCCGTTTGGATAGATAGTTAAGTGTTTGGATCTCATTCTCATTTTTCTTAGGAGATCCAAACAGGGCCTTAGATTGTAACTATCTTGTCTAGTACCTCCTGTGATCACATATAAGTGGCATGGACATTGCCGCATTCTCCAAAATACAAGTTTTAACCACTATTATCAATTTTAATACGTTTAAATCTTTCTAAGAAAATATTTATCAATGCAGCACTTTCGTGTGCTTGATCTAATGTTAATAAATGTTGACCGTTGTAAAAAATCACAACTATAGAGTAAACCCATTTGGGAACCTCCTTAGGCCTTGTTTGGATGCATGTGTATCCACCTCAATCCACATGTGCTGGAGTGGAATGGAATGGAATTTAGTTCAATTCCACTCCAATCCACTTCAACACATGTGGATTGAGATGAATACATGCGCATCCAAACAAGGCCTTAATGGGAAGATAACGTGCAGTCTTATGCAGCTCTGGTTGGTGGTATGCTATTATGCTGCTCTTTTGTATATGCAAAGAATATCCAAGTGGATTTCCAAATGAATTTGTTCTGCATAATACTCCCTCCGTTCCAAATTATAAGTCGTTCTGGGTTTTCTAGATGTATCTAGACATAAGTGTCGATCTATATGCATAGCAAATTTATGTATATAGAAAAGCAAGAATGAGTTATAATTTGGTATGGAGGGAGTAATTTTCTTTTCCTTGATAATGCTAAAGTACTGATGCAAGCATATAATGAATATTATCAGGCAAATATCCAAATTTACAGATCCTATGTTGTTGAGCAGGTTCAATATTATGAGAGACTATCTCCTTTGGTTCCTCTGAAGTCTCCACTTGGGTCTTTCTCTAACATCAAGGCAGGAGATTGTTTAGTAACATTTTCAAGACGTGGAATTTATACTCTCAAGGTTAGTATGGTTCAACTGGCCATTGCAGAATTGCTTCATATATCAAGCATTTGCGTGATGACTCCATATATCTAAGAAATAAACATAACATGTCCTTCAAAGTTCTTGAAAAACAAAACAAATACAGTAAAACCTAGGAAATGAGCAAAATCAGACATCTGAGGATAGTTGTTTCTATTTAGCAACCATCAAAGTATGTTTGTTTTCCTTATGCTTTTCATAAGCCTTGCCAATTGAATACTCCACGTAAACTGAAGTCTGTGAAACAGATAATTCAAATCCACAACCATAAAAAGAGTGGACCCATTAAACCAGGGGCAGATCCAATGCACAAAGATCAAGGACCAGCAACGGAGTTACCACGACAACGCCTGCTAACTTTTTTCCCTATGTCTGCACATTAAAACCCTGGAAACACATCCTTGTATTGATCTACAGATAACAGATTAGAATTCATTATCAGTAAAAAGATATCCAGTAGATGAAGTGAATATGAAGTTTCTGGCACCTTTCTTATTTTGCAAATTTTCATGCATTCAGAAAAGAATTGAAAGGGAGGGAAAACATCTTTGCTCTGTGGTCTATGGTTCATTGCCACCAGAAACTCGAACAAAGCAGGTATTTGCTTACATCTGGGTATTTACTGTCATACTATACTATTGTACTTTTGCCTCATTGATGCCACACGTTCCATATGTTAAGATGAATAGCAGCATGTGTAAGATGTTACTTGGGTAATACTCAATGATAATCATACAGGGCCATCCAGTATTGATGCTGGACTTTAAAGTACACAGCCAACCAGTTTTTCTTGGTTTATGCAATTAATGCCATAACCCACAAGCTCATAATTTTAGCCAGGATTTCAAGATTTTGTGAGTCATGCTTGTAGTCTTTTTTTTTTGTCATAAAAGTAACCTTGTTGGTGG